CTCTAAAATGAATTGGTTAATGTCAAGCTAACGATAGACCAGACACATCTCTGAGGATCCAGCGGTACATATTGTCGTGTTTCTGTGATCTTAATTCTTAATACTAGTTGATTAAAGTTGTGTATCGTGATTCCAACTTTACATATTTTTTTATATTAAAAAAAATGAGGGTAAATTGTGTTGGATCAACCGATCAAGCAGAAATATTGTTTTTTAAACTATCAACGTGCGGTGTTGCTTTAGAGAGAAATACAAAGATTCTTAGCTCTAAGGCATTAGGCAATGTAATGTTGTTATATATACAATGTAATTTTGTTGAAGAATAAAAAGAAAAGAATATTGGAAGTTTAGAAAAGATGTTGCTTGATTTATCGAGAAAATTAAATGGCACAACTGGACCATGATCAAGTAGTGCACGAAGACGAAGCATTGTGTGCATTGATTACAGATGGTGATAATACGCATCATACTACAAAGAATCTTGCAAAATGGTTTATTAAAATACAAATAAAATTTCTACGCCTAAATTTCAGTAATTGTCATTTTGGCTTTCCATATCATCATACGTATGTTACGAGAGAAGACACTAGGTGAAAATCTTAGGTGTCATTCTAAGAGGGTTTTAAAGAATTTATTTTCTAATAAAAATTATTAAAAAATCTTAATTACAAATATATGGAAATAACGAATATGTGGTAATTAATATAAAGAATTTTATTTAAGAAATATAGAAAATATTTGAAAATATCTTATTTTCTTTTCAATAATACTAGATTTTTTTATCCGAATCAAAAGCAGTATTAAAATATTCAAAAACAAAAATTCATGATTATTTTTAATAGATGAGAGAAATGAAAAATAACAAAGATAAAATATATTTAAGTTTGATCAAAATTTAGCTTTATTATATGTATGCACAATACATATCATTTTTTGCGTGTTTATAAATATGAGAATACACGTCTAAATATTAAATTCGATGAAAAACATATTTAATTATTTAATTTTCACGCTTGGCATTGGTCAAAATCTAGTAACCATACAAACTAAGAGGTGATGGTCTAGTTATTCTCAAAATCACTAATTCAATTTTATTTGGGAATAATGAATTGCATTTTAAATATAATATTTTCAAAAAGTAGTCCCGAGTAAAAGAAGTGATAATAAACCATAAGTCTGGAATTTCCAAAATTCAAGTTTTGTTTTAATATTTTTTTCTTTTTTGGTAAACATGTTAAAAAAATTTTGTTTTAATCGTTCGATCTATAATGATATTCATCAACTAGCTAGAGAA